AATGGGTTCCTAAATAAGTGCTTAATGAACGTTCGAATAGAGAATTTAGGAATTCTGTTAGAGAAGTTTAGAAAATGTCTTATTGCTTCTATTATTTCTATAATCTTTCCATTAGGAAAATGGAAGAATTAGTGATATCTCAGTGATAACGCTAGGAAACTAATATCAGAAAGAATAGGTTCCTAAATAAGCGCTTAATGAACGTTCGAATACAGAATTTAGGAATTCTGTTAAAGAAGTTTCGAATATGTCTTATTACTTCTATTATTTCTATTTCGTGTATTATTTCTATAATCTTTCCATTAGGAAAATAGAATTAGTGATAGATCTCAGTGATAACGCTAGGAAACTGATATCAGAAAGAATGGGAATCGATCGAAACAATAATACCAGAACTAACAAGAAACCGCAACGACGTACAAATCGATACAGAAACGTCCACACGCGCGCCTTAAGCGCAGAAGGCGTTCAATAAAAAGGATTTGCTTACCGCTAACCGAGTCCGACATTATCAGCCATTTGATTGAAATCCATAAACCCCGCCAAGACAGTTAATACCGCAGAAAACCCGGGCGTCTCACTCTTCGCCGGTGAACGAGGTCTAAATTTTCACCGGACCATTAATTTTAAATTCCTCGATTACGTCCGGGCCACGAAGCGCCTCGTCAACAACACGGCCACGAACCGTGACTCGCCTATCCCCCGTGATATGAATACTCCCGTAGAAAACGTAGCGCCGCTACACCGGGAAAAACGAGGAATTGATATATGTAAAATCCCATATCATCAGTGAAGGGTTAATTAAAACCGGATTCCCTCGGACATAAAAGGAGAACCGAAAAACCGAGGAAAAACGGAGAGGAAGGGAGGAAACGGAAGAAAGAATGAGACGGTTAGAAAAAGCGAGAAAGAGAGAGAGAGAGAGAGAGAGAGAGAGAGAGATTAAAACGAGCTGACAGTTTAATTAAAACTGTAGAAGAGTTCCAAAGAGCGCGTAACAAGGGGGATAGCATTAAATCGGCGGAACGGCGCCGCATAAGGAAAAGAATCCCGTAAAATCGAAGCTGCCCGACCGTTGCCGCGCGAACGTAGAACGATTCCGCGCGTAAAAGCGCCGCTAAAGACCGCCCGTTACATCCCGACTTCGTTCCAGCTACGAAATCCGGGTAAATAAGACCGCCGGGCCCTCGGTTTATCCGGAGCCCGACTCGAACGGAAGCGAAACGAGTCTCTTTTATCGACAGACACATCCCGAAACCTCCGCTTTCGCCGGCGAATTTTACGACAGCGGCCGGTGGCTCTGTGTTTCAGCTTTTATCGATCATCTTTCGGCGTGTCTCCCGCCGTGTATTTATCCGCGGACAGGCGATAAAAGAGCCTGAATTTATTTATAAGCGACGATCCCCCTCGAGGAAACCGCGATTCACGGTGCGAGCGACTACGAAATCCTCTTTGCCGGTCCTCGTTCATCAATTATATACACCGCCTGACTGTTATTCGCGTTTCCCGCGGCGAGCCGCGGCTAATTCGCTGTTCGACGGAATAATGGAGAGCAACGGGCGGTTCTCCTTCGTAAAACACGGGAGAAACCGGGGATGCAGTCGGTGTCGAAGTATCGCGATATCGGCTCTGATCCCAGAAACAGTTTCGGCTTCTCGGAACTGCTATTATATCCGCTCGATAACCGTCATTTTTCGATTCTACATCGAGTCCCGGTTTCATAACTGTTATTTCAGCGTCCGTGTCCGTTGTTACAACGCGGAGCCGAGCCATAATCGATGCAAAACTGAAAATGCCCGTTGTGGAACCGACGGATTCGCGTCTGTTACAGATATCTTTCGGTTTTCATAACTGTTTCAATCGGAATCGGCGCATAGACGCTCGGCGCGGTTATTTTCGGAGCAGTTTCGGCGTCTAGTTGACAGTTTTCGATCGGCGGAGAAGGGAATGGCCCGTCGAATCGATGAATTCCGCGTGCGACCCGCTGAATGGATCATCCCGAAGGATTCCGAAGGGTTTTCTACATATTTTAGCACGATTCCGCGAGAGAACAGCGCGGAGCGCAATTTCGAAGCAGTTTTAGTGTCTAGTTGACAGTTTTCGATCCGCGGAGAAGGGAATGGCCCCTCGAATCGATGAATTCCACGTGCGACTCGCCGAACGGATCATCCCGAAGGATTCCGAAGGGTTTTCTACATATTTTAGCACGATTCCGCGAGAGAACAGCGCGGAGCACAATTTCGAAGCAGTTTCGGTGTCTAGTTGACAGTTTTCGATCCGCGAGGAAGGGAATGGCCCGTCGAATCGATGAATTCCGCGTGCAACCCGCCGAACGGATCATCCCGAAGGATTCCGAAGGGTTTTCTACATATTTTAGCGCGATTCCGCGAGAGAACAACGCGGAGCGCAATTTCGTATTAACGTGAAATCCGCATCGAGGCGTGCACGTGCTCGCGCGTCTATGCGCGCCCCTCTCGCTCATTATGTGTCCGACGTCGTTATATAAACGGTTATACCGGGGTAATTGCCGAGTTGTCGTCCTGGGGGAACGGAAGGAGCCGGAACGAAGCGCGGATGTTAATTAGCCGACGACGGCTGGATTAAAGGAATCGACGCGTGTGAGGAGCCGCGACGGGGTTCTAGATAACGGGAGATGTTACGTCAACTTGTGAACTTGCTACTCCCTTTATGGTGTTCTTTCACCTAATTATACTTGAATTTCTTTGGAACCGTTGTGTTTAATGGGATACTGTTGTTTACTCTACTTCGTCGATTTAACCCTGTGTAGGCCCATGTCACTTTCAAGTCACATGTCAGTATTGGAATCTTGTTGATTTATTTCATTTTGCGCTCAAAGTAGTGAGTAAAATTAAGTAATCGGTTAACTTGTACTTTTATACGCTCAGGTGTGGAATTTTTACGTCATTGTAGCTTGAAAGTTACAAAATATACTCGTTCGATGAAATTATTGAAACTATTGAATACATTGTGAACTCGTATTCATATGTGGATATTTATTAATTTTCTACTGCATAGATTTTGTTATGATCACGAACAAAAATTCAGTCTATGGAGGGTTAACAAGAATGAATGTTGTTCATTACCCACGGATCAAAGCAAACAACTATTTTGCTATTATCAATGTATTATCTTCAATTGAAATTTCCACCTCAAGTAGAATGGAAAATGTTGTATTTCTTACAAATTGTCGATAGTAAAATATTACAGCTTAGTAACGAAAGTAAATAGTACACCAAGGGGTTACCAGAAAGAACTTCTCCAAAATATTCTCGAACGTGAATAAAAATTTGAAACCCGGTACCTTGAAAGTTACAAAATATACTCGTTTGATGAAATTATTGAAACTATTGAGTACATTGTTAACTCGTATTCATATGTGGATATTTATTAATTTTCTACTGCATGGATTTTGTTATAATCACGAACAAACATTCGGCCCATAGAGGGTTAACGGAGTTCTCGCTTTGCCGAAGGTACCTTCGAATTCGATAGAAAAAGTCAGTGACATAGAGGATCCTAGTTTCTCAGTTATATATCAAATGAGCGCATAAATTGCTCGAGATAGGAGTCGCGGGTTTAGAAGCACGAAATTTGAACGTAGAGGTATTTTAATTGGCGGAGACTTTTACGGCGGCAGGAAGAGCTAAAATTGAATCGTAATAAAAGAGGGTCGTAGAAAGCTCCGACTGTTGGTAGAAAGCTCGATCGGCAATAAAAGGGTTCTAAAATGTTTGTCGATGGCGTCCGAGCCGCGCGACTGGTTCGATCTGCCGATCCCGCGGCGCGGGCCAATGACATCCGCTGAAATCGAGGAATTATTCCGTGCCATTTCTCGCGGGGTTCACTCTCCCCGTTGTAATTGAGATGCGAAATAATAGCGGGGAAGGCGGATGCTTCGTGTTATATTCTCTGCAGATTCCGGGCTGGTAATCGGACGTTTTGCCGAGCAAACATGGTTGGAATTAATCGCGAAATGCTTCGGGCTTCGACGCCGCGGCCCAAACAGTACGCTGAAATTGGACTACGGATAGATTGACTGTAATCGTTGCGCTTTCTCTCTGCGAGATGTCGCCGGTTTCTTGCTGCCTTAACACTTTCACGTCGCGGTTCACGAAAATTTTCTTCTCCGTCGCCGGAACTTTTTGCAAAGTTCGTTGAAATGTACAAATGTAAAATATAAAATTTATTACGACATAATGAACTTAGCTGCTTTTTATTAAATGATACGTGTAATACGTGTAATTTCCAATAGCACGTTGAGGTCCCCGCAAATAATAAACGGGATGCAAATGGCACCACGTTCGTGTCACCGGACGTGAAAGTGTTAATCGAAGAGACAAACTGATCAATGAAGGAAACGTTTATAGATTATACAGCATTATACAAGTGACTAATGAATAACATGGTGAAATACTTGGTGCCTTCATACATTTGTATTTGGATTTATCTTACTCGATTCACTTCTATTCTTGATTCTTAATATATTAACCTTTTAGCTACCGCGATTTGAGATTGAGTTTTTGCGCAATTACGTTAAATTAGACTATGATATGCACAACTATCGATGACGGAAGAATATTGCCGTTATAGCGACGCATCATTCAAGAAGATGATACCCCAGAAAACCACTATGGCGCATCGTAATATAAGATGACGTAAGCGAAAGCCATTGTGGCGCGTCGTATCAAAGAGGTTAATCTTCTATGCGATATTTTTATAGTCTCCTTAGATGTCCACGGGTTTTACAGGTATCTCATTATCATGCCCATTAATTGCAGAGTGTAACTAGAGACAAATCGCAAGAGTAATGGAAAGCAAGAGAGACATCAATCTTCATAGTCTCAGCGTTCGTTTAACATTATCCGTGCGAGCAACCCTCTCCCCGCGACGGACGTAGCACGGTGGGGACGGTGCGAGCCCCTCTACGGGTAAAAAGGAACATCGGGAGCTAATTGTCACACGCTGGCCGATCACTTGTCACTCGGTATCCAATAGTCGTAGCGCGAGCTCTATTCCGGGGATCGTTCTTCCAATCACGCGCCACGAGAATCGCGTCGAACGGAATCTATTTTCAGAGATAACGATGCTAAGAGTGTGAAATCTGCACAGAGAGGATATTTATTGTATCGTTGAAGCTCGTTCGATCGAATCTAGGAAATCCGATCGATGTCCAGGTACGTGAAACGCGTATGAGAGGCGTCGGTGGCGTATCAGTGAAGTGAACTCCTTGTTCGCAGTGAATATTTTTGGCTCGCCGTTTCCTGGCTCCTCGTGAACGGACTCGCGGCCGTCCACGCGGGACATCGTGGCGATCGTCGCGAAGAATGGGTCGTCAGGCTCGAGGGCGGGCCTCGAGTTTCGTCGCTCTTGGCCCTGCAGTCTGGTTACAGGCATCTTGGACCGGTGAGTGGTCGTTTCCCCGGAATTCAATGGAGAAAATCATTGACGGTCTGTACGTGTTTGCCAACACTGGAACTACCGTACCAGTCGAAATCACTGGTTTCGAGTTTTTTGTTTAGCAATTATTGATACCTTCGGAGCATTGAATATTCGAAATGATTTTGAAAATAGTTTCATTTGGGTACTATAATGGATGCCTGAAGAAACTGACGATAATCTATTGTTACAGTTTTTATAGGAATTGCATAGTAATCGTATTAAATGCTCGGTAGTTCTAGTGTTAAGTGTCCACTTTGAGGTAAAGAACTTGTGACGATCACTTGTGGTAAATTAATTACGAAAGTTTGAGGAATTTGAGACTAGTACTATACTTATTAACTGGAACTATCGATTATTTAATAGGATAATCTCTATAAACATTGCAAGAATAGATATCAATGCGAACACAGTCGAAACTAGTCATTTTGACGTAGTGTTAAGGGAATTCAGACAGTCGTAGTCAGACTTGCTCTCAATAGAACAGATCAGTGACGGTAGGATTTAATGTAACGAATTTACTGAAATCAGTAGCGACGGATGCTTGTTTTTAAGGGAATTCAGACAGTCATAGACAGACAGTCGGTGAAAGTAAAGAAACGCTGAAATGACGGTGCTTTAACCCTTTGGACTCGAAAAATTTATCACTAGAAATATTCTATTTATTTTTATGAGATATAGATAACATTTTTTAAAACTAACTTAACGAGGAATCTATTCACAAAATAAGGAGAACAATGATACTTTATTTCCACATTTCACGTATCGACAGACTCAAGACTTAATGTTAAATACGAAATTTTACAATTTCGATGCACCGATCGAGTGGCGACTGAGAGGCACCTTTCCAGTGCAAAGGGTTAAATTGTATATTGAAATTGATTAAATTCAGTCGACGATAGCAGAGTTGAAAATAACCGTGAAAAGAGTTGGCCAACATTTTCGACTTACTGCTGACTGCGCCGCGTAGATCCTCGGGGCGCGGAATGTTCGCCGGTAACCCCGGGGATAAGTTTGTCAACGTTACATACAGCCACCGCGAACAGAAGCACCGCGAGACGCAATTAAAACTTGAACAACTGCTTAATAAGTTATTGTTAGCCACTTGTGCAACGTCCAATTCGAGTTTAACTCCAGCCAGAGCATCCGCGGTATTGTTACTTAACTTTCGTGTTTATCTCAGACGAGAGTAAAGGCGAGCGAAGTTCACCCCGCCGGGCTCGAGAGTGAACAGAAGGAAATATACCGTCGCGGAAAGGAAAATTTCACGAGAAACCGTCGCGTCAATTGGAATACTAATTTTTCCCGGTAGGGATCCCAATGAAAAGCCGAAGTTCACTGGAACGGAAGACAGGCGAGGTGGCCGAACGAACGGAGGCGGCAAGAGTGCCCGCCGGATTAGAATTTGAATGTCAGCCGTGTTTAATTAACATTTTAATAAGAGGCTCGCCCTACACCATATGCCATGCCCGACGAGGTGTTTCCATGTCTGATAATCCACGTCGAGTCACTCTAATCTCAAGTGTTCGTTAAACAAGCCGGCGGGAAGCGTCCGGTCGATTTCAGGCGTGACGCAAACACGAATCGCCGAGCGTACTGTTTCCATGGAACACCACGGATCCGTGTTCTTGCGCCGGAAAACGGAGCGCAGGACGAAAAATCGAACCACCGTCGCCAGGGAGAGCAATCGCTTGGATTGCGAATCTGTCACGAATCGTTTGCGTTAATCTCGCTTGTATATTCCCTCTGAAAGAATTCATTTAGCTCCGATGAATCGTTTAAAATAATTTAACAATCGCAATTTAACAAAAGAACTCGCATTCGAAGCGGTGGCAGAAAGTTCATACGATTCCCCTAAAATAAAACGTGCAATTAGCAATATTACAATACTATAATCTCATACCACCAATATTACATCAACTCCTAGTATTAATAATACATTAACATTATTCAACCGCTACCATCGCACAATAATATAATACTCTCCGCACACGAAACACCGGTTTAACTCCATCGATTCTCCGATCGGAACACGACTAAAACACCATCGGGAGGAAGGTTGAAAAGCGAGGGTTCACGGGGGTAGCTCGATATCTTTGACCAACGGTTCTCTCGCGACTCGATCTCCAGGCGGAACTCGTTTTGCAAAGTGCACGAGCCGCCACGGGAAGGAGGAGAGGGAAAGAGGGAAAGATCCGGCCGATCTAAGGTGAATCTCGGGGTTGGAGGACGCAGCGAGAGAATGGCTGGAACGAGCGATCAAATGGTTCGTGAGGCTTGCTTACCGAGATAATCTCTTTGCAACGATCCGTGCGCCCCGAGGAAGCGATTCGGCCGCAGTTTTTCGAGCGGGTTGCACGGTACATTCACGTCCCACGCTGGATCTAGCCCCCGAACGCTCGAGATACGTTTACGCTCTCGCGCAGATTTACCGAGCCGGGGCGGGCGGCCTTAGAAAAATGTACGGGACTCGCCGTTCAAAGAATCGAAAGGGGGAGGGGAAGGTCGGAGAAGGGCCGGAGGAGAATTCCTACCGGCGGGCACCTCTTTCCGAGAGCATTTCGCCGGGGCCACAAAGCGGAAACTCCTACCGGGGAAATTGAGACGCGACCGTGATCTTCGAATAACGATGAATTCCTGTCCGACGTGTCGCCTCGTGTTTTTCCAAGAGGGAAACCGACGCCGAGGGTTGTCCCCAGATAGGGCGGGACTCGTGAATTAAGCTGGATCCTTGCTTTCTCCTCGCAGGGGCATGGAAACTTTCGAATCCCTCAGCGATTTTCAGTGAAATTATACTCGGAGTTTTCCCTTTCTCCGGCATTCTTATCCTTTCTATTTTGTAATCGAATAAATTCGAGTGACTGTACTAGAGATAAGAATTATGTGTACGATCTACACCTATTCTATATTAACCCTTTGCGGAAGATTCTTCGAAACATACAAAACCTTCAACATATGAAGCTAAATTACATATCAACTGTTTAAACCCTTGCCTACAATGACGAGTGAGACTCATGATGAAGATTTCTAGAGTAATTTAACAACAATCGATGTTATTCATTACCCACGGATCAAAGCAAACAACTATTCTGCTATTATCATTGTTATCATCTTTAAATGAAATTTTCACCTGAAGTAGAATGGAAAATATGGTCGCATTTCTTCCAAATTGTCGATAGTAAAATGGTACATAAGCTTAGTGGCGAAAGGAAATAGTATCCAAGGGGTTAATTAATAGAATTCAAAGGAAACTACGTTCTGATCTCTTGCTATTCGACTGATTAAATCATCGAGTTCGTCTTCGAAATACGAACGTTCCATCTTACCGAAATGCCGACATCTGTCCGCAAAGGGTTAACCCTTTGCACTCGAGAGGTGACCTCAATCACCACTTGATTTGACACAGTAAAACTGTAGAATATGATATTTAATGTTAACACGTTGAATACTGTGGGAGTCACCGGTGACCTCAACCAAATCGAATTACTATAATTCATTCCACTAAACGATGATTATTTCAAAATTTTCTATATTAAAAACCTGCAATAATAACAACGTAATTCAATGGCATAAATTGATGTTACATTATTTTCATTTTCTATATTTCTCGGCAAAATCGTGCGGCAGTCAACGTGTCAAACTCTGTATAATGCCTCGATACGTGAAACATTGGAATAAAACAGCTTCCTCAATGTACTGGTGATTTCTCTTCGAATTAGTCTCAAAGAACATCGTCTCCCTAAAGAAATGTTAAACATTTCTAATAAAAAACATCCAAATGCAAAGGGTCAATCTATTCAAACGAGAACTTTCAACGAACTTCCAAAGAGAATCAGTACTTCTACAGTACTTCTACAATAAAAACTGTCCAAACGAAACCCAAAAATCGCGCGGAGTCAATAGATTAGTATGCCAGGAACAAATATCAGGATGCATTTGAACAGGTTCCATTCGAAAGGTAACGATCCTGAGGAATTCCACGAGTACTAACGAGAGGAGCGCGGCCGTTATCGTCGCGATTGCCGTGACCGCTTTGGTGCGTAGGGGAGTGACGCGTGTTTTCAGAACATCAGCCGAGGCATAATTACGCGAGCGGCTCGGCTGCTCTCCTTTTTCAACGGTTTCACCTGGCCGAGCTCCCCCGGCGTCCGAGCCGACGCGCTTCCACGGTTCGCAGAGCTGCATTCCCCCCCTGAATGCGACTGGCGCAGTTGCAGCTGCACAGGGAGCCTCGCGGCCGACCGCAATCCGCGCCGGCCGCGATTCACCGGGGTCCCGTAGCCTCGCCCCGTATATTTCCCAGTCAGGTCGTGTAATTATTTCGTATAATTAAGCTCGCGTGGCCGGCCCCGGAAGGGTGGAACGCCCTTCCGGGGTAACACCCAGGCGGTTTTATCGCTTGACGAGTCCCGACACCGAAGATCAAGTGACCATTAAACGCTCGGCCGGCCCGCTAATGGAAAAGAAGTCTACCGGACTCGAACTGATTATGCAAACCCCTCTGGGATTTAGTAGAACCTGATTAGACGGCGCTTTAAGACTTTAATCCTTTGATTTGTGATTTCTACTTTAACCCTTTGCGAACGAACGTAGACGTTACGAGATGAAATTTTAATATTTCGAAGACTAAGTCGTAAGCAAATGATTTAATTACTCGAATAGTATGTAGTTTCCTATTTTTCTGTTGTTAGCTTCACCTGTTGAGGGTTTCGCATATTTTAGAGAATCTTCGTCAGCAAAGGGTTGATCCAGCAATAGTAGAACCTGATTAGAGGGCGCTTTAAGACTTTAATCCTTTGATTTGTGATTTCTACTTCAACCCTTTGCGGACGAACGTAGACGTTACGAGATGAAATTTTCATATTTCGAAGATTAAGTCGTAATTACTCGAATAGTATGTAGTTTCCTATTTTTCTGTTGTTCAAGTGATTGATATATGATTTTGCTTCACCTGTTGAGGATTTTGA